CTACTATATTTGGGCAAAAATGGCCGCTCTCAGACTCGGTGATCGCGATGCAAATGATTATTTTTATTGTTTTAGTGATTAACGCTAAATTGATTAAATCACCGCAAACGTATTAATTTTAGGTATAAATAACGATCACAGCTCATGATGTATGTTCTCGCACTGTACGTCTAAAAACCACGTCGGACTCGTCAATCTGGATGAAGAACAGGAACTCCCTTGGTTGCACATGCGCAGTGCTGGAGGTTCTGGTAAATCGGCTCGTATCTCTGCTTCAACAGCAGGATTTAAACACCAACACCTCAGGAGAGACGACTGAATTTCAAACATGTTTGATTTTCTTCTGACCTTACGATTCCTGATGGAGAGGCGTTTGTTCGAAGCTAATTGCCCCTCGTTACCTCCTGGACACTACACGACGCACCATGAGGCTGAAACTTGGACTGATTGAAACCATTCTCACCGACTGAAGAAAAGGGGCAAAAACTGGTAGAGTGTATGCCCGGCTTTAGTCAACAAACCTACCCTTAAATCATCTTTACGTGGACCAGGATCTGTTAAAGGCATTAAAATCACTTTGCTCTTTAAAATGAAGAGTGCAGGCAGGTCTGAAGGCAAAGGTGTACATTAATATCCTTTATTCTAGAGGTGTGAGATCGCTGTAATGTGTGAAAGCAAACAAGAGAGATGGTTTTACATGACCTTGCAACCAGCTAACATTTGGTGATTGTATATAAAGATGTGAAAAAGGATGGAACTAATCTGGTCTTTGACCTAAAAGTTAATGTGGAGGAAAGAAAAGGTGCGAGGCTAATGATGATACAGATGCAGCCTCTATTAATGAACCGGCTCAGAAGAGAGTTAACAGTCGTGTGTTGAAGAGGTCAGGCAGCTCATCCTCAAAGGAAAGGAACTCGACCCTGTTTGATTTCTACTGTGGGCATGTGGGTGATGACACTATTAGCTCATTTAGCATTTGGGCATCACCCAGCAGACACACAGCTTTTCCATCTTTATTGTTTTCTAGTGTTGCTCAATTTTTATTGTAGTTTGCAGCCTTTCAACAGGCCGTTTAAGGTGGCAATGATGATTAGAAGGGAAATCACATCAGACCCCAGAGGGAATATGTGGATGGAAATTAAAGGCAAAAGGAAATTCACAAAAGGGTTTTGCAGAGCATAAAGTTAGGAAAGGTTCTGCAAAAAGTTAAAAAACACACAAAAAAAGAATTTCAACCATTCCTGGTGCTCATGTTGAAGAGGTGGATTTGCATTGTTTATTTTCTATTGCTGTGACTAACAGACAGGTGTATCTAAATAAAACAGAAAAGTATTAGAGGTGATGAATGGTCCTTGGCTGGCCCTTTTTAAACCTCAATCTTTGTAAAAAAATAAAAATAAATTTTTTCTGTCATGATTTATGGACATTAAGATCTAAAGAGAAGCGCCATCTCCTGGTCAGACGCTGTAATTCAGTGAAACGGTGGAGTCAGAGTAAAACAACATACAAGAGGTGGTCGGTCCAGTGGCTGGAAGATGGAGGGCTTTTTGCTGGGAGTTGCAGGGAAGTGGGCCGCCATTCAGCTGGTGTTTGACACGGAAGGGCCATTTTGAATGGCTGCTACTGTATGTGCACTAACAAACTGGATTTACTTAAGGCTTAGTCCATGACAGGCTGACATGGATTCAAATCCTGCCCCACTGAGTCAGTGTTCAGAAGCAATAACCTTTACTTCCTGTCACCTTATTTCAAATAAAAGCTAGTAAGGCAAAATCCCTTTAGCAATTGGTAATTTATATCAGTAGTCAAGTTCAACTTTAAATCTTAAATCCAGAATAGAATTTAAAATCCTCCTTTTCACATATAAAGCCTTAAATGGCCAAGCTCCATCTGACATCAGAGATCTGATTGTTCCTTATGTTCCTAACACAGAACTTCGCTCTCAATCTGCTTATGAAGATTCTCAGTCATCCAGGTCAATGCAGAATCATAGACAGGTTTCAGATATTACAGGCTAACAATGGAACCAAACGACCCATTCAGCGGTTTCCATTTGCATGTTTCCAAGCAATACAAGGCGAAAACTCATTTCAGCCACTTGTATCTTTCGGTCATGACCCAAAGCTCATGACCATAGATGAGGGTAGGAACGTAGATTGACCGGTAAATCGAGCTCTCTCTTCACCACAACAGACAGGTACAGCGCACGCTTCACAGCAGACGCCCCACCAATCCGCCTATCGATCTCCCACTCCATCTTCCTCTCATTCGTGAACAAGGGCAGTACATCCTCCCCAACCTGGAGAAGGCACTCTACCCTTTTCCAGCTCAAGACCATGGTCTTCGAAGTACTCAGCCCTCCGACATACGACGTCCCGAGTCGAGGAAAGCAGCACACCAGCCCTACTATAAATTGTGTTGGTACTGCACTGCTTCCCCCTCCTGAGACGAATTCCTTCGAAGCCATATGGAAGTCTTTCTCCATGGCGTCTCCGAACTCTTCCCACGCCCGAGTTTTAGCCTCGGCGACCAGCCGAGCCACCTGCCACTTTGACTGCCGGTACATATCAGCTTCTTCTAAAGTCCAACAGGTCAATAAAGCCCGATAGGACTCCTTCTTCAGCTGGTGTCAACCAGCGTGTTTGAGGATTGCTGCCCCGACATGCACCGACAACCTTGCAGCCCCAGCTCCGACTAGCCGCCTCAACAATAGAGGCACGGAACATGGTCCACTCAGACTCAATGTCCCCCACCTCCCTTGGAACGTGTTCAAAGCTCTGCTGGNGGAAGGGCCATTTTGAATGGCTGCTACTGTATGTGCACTAACAAACTGGATTTACTTAAGGCTTAGTCCATGACAGGTTGACACGGATTCAAATCCTGCCCCACTGAGTCAGTGTTCAGAAGCAATAACCTTTACTTCCTGTCACCTTATTTCAAATAAAAGCTAGTAAGGCAAAATCCCTTTAGCAATTGGTAATTTATATCAGTAGTCAAGTTCAACTTTAAATCTTAAATCCAGAATAGAATTTAAAATCCTCCTTTTCACATATAAAGCCTTAAATGGCCAAGCTCCATCTGACATCAGAGATCTGATTGTTCCTTATGTTCCTAACACAGAACTTCGCTCTCAATCTGCTTATGAAGATTCTCAGTCATCCAGGTCAATGCAGAATCATAGACAGGTTTCAGATATTACAGGCTAACAATGGAACCAAACGACCCATTCAGCGGTTTCCATTTGCATGTTTCCAAGCAATACAAGGCGAAAACTCATTTCAGCCACTTGTATCTTTCGGTCATGACCCAAAGCTCATGACCATAGATGAGGGTAGGAACGTAGATTGACCGGTAAATCGAGCTCTCTCTTCACCACAACAGACAGGTACAGCGCACGCTTCACAGCAGACGCCCCACCAATCCGCCTATCGATCTCCCACTCCATCTTCCTCTCATTCGTGAACAAGGGCAGTACATCCTCCCCAACCTGGAGAAGGCACTCTACCCTTTTCCAGCTCAAGACCATGGTCTTCGAAGTACTCAGCCCTCCGACATACGACGTCCCGAGTCGAGGAAAGCAGCACACCAGCCCTACTATAAATTGTGTTGGTACTGCACTGCTTCCCCCTCCTGAGACGAATTCCTTCGAAGCCATATGGAAGTCTTTCTCCATGGCGTCTCCGAACTCTTCCCACGCCCGAGTTTTAGCCTCGGCGACCAGCCGAGCCACCTGCCACTTTGACTGCCGGTACATATCAGCTTCTTCTAAAGTCCAACAGGTCAATAAAGCCCGATAGGACTCCTTCTTCAGCTGGTGTCAACCAGCGTGTTTGAGGATTGCTGCCCCGACATGCACCGACAACCTTGCAGCCACAGCTCCGACTAGCTGCCTCAACAATAGAGGCAGGGAACATGGTCCACTCAGACTCAATGTCCCCCACCTCCCTTGGAACGTGTTCAAAGCTCTGCCAGAGATGGGAGTTAAAGCTCCTTCTCACTGGGGACTCTGCCAGATGTTCGCAGGAAACCCTCACAATACGTTTGGGCCTACCAGTTCTGGCCAGCGTCCTCCCCAACCATTGGCGCCAACTCACCACCAGGTAGTGGTCGGGGGAGAGCTCCGCCCTTCTCTTCACCCGAGTGTCCAAGGCATGCGGCCGCAGGTCAGATGAAACAACAACAAAGTCGATCATTGAACTACAGCCTAGGGTGTCCTGGTGCCAAGAGCACATATGGACACCCTTATGCTTGAACATGGCGTTCACTATGGACAATCCATGACGAGCACAAGTCCAACAACAGAACACCACTTGAGTTCAGGTCAGGAGTTCAGTTCAACCACGCCTCGCCAGGTCTCACTGTCATTGCCCATGTGAGCGTTGAAGTTCCCAAGAAGAACAAGGGAGTCCCCAGGAGGGGCACTCTCCAGTACCCCCTCTAAAGACTCCAAAAAGGGTGGGTAATCTGAACTGCTGTTTGGCGCATAAGCACAAACAGTCAGAACCCGTCCCCCCACACGTATGTGGAGGGAGGCAACCCTCTCGTTCACCAGGGTAAACCCCAACGTACAGGCACCAAGATGAGGGGCAACAGGAATGGCCAGTCCTGCTTGGCGCCTCTCACCAGGGGCAACTCCAGAGTGGAAGAATGTCCAGCCCCTTTCAAGGAGACTGGTTCCAGAGCCAGAGCCATGCGTCGAGGTAAGTCCAACTATCTCTAGTTGGAACTATTCAACCTTATGCACTAACTCAGGCTCCTTCTCCACCAGAGAGGTGACATTCCATGTCCCAAGAGCCAGCTTCTTTAGCCGAGGGTCAGAACACCAAGGTCCCCGCCCACGACTGCCACCCATCAAACATTGCACCCCACCCCTTTGGCCCCTCCTACAGGTGGTGAGCCCATTGGAAGGGGAACCCATGTTTCCTCTTTGGGCTGTGCCCAGCCAGGCTCCATGGGTAAAAGCCCGGCCACCAGGCTTTTGCCAGCGTGCCCCACCTCAAGGTCTGGCTCCAGAGTGGGGCCGCGGTGACCCGTGTCCAGGTTATTGTATTCATCATAAGGGGTCTTTGGGCATATTAAATACTATGAGTCCCCAAATATGTAACATTGCTTTTTATTCCACTGTAGATTATCTTTGAGGTTAGAATCAACCTGGAAATCTAAACTGACTGTGACTAACTGGATGTGCTCTCTTCATCCTCTGACATGGGAGCTGGCTCGGAGCTCGT